TCTATTGTACCTTTTTATTATCTTTTGTTAATAGGATTTTAAAATTGTATACAATAATTGTATAATAAATTCTCTCTCTTTTTTATAATTATATTAATTATTTTTATAATTATAGAACATTTTGTTATCAGAAGAAATAGTAAGTATAATAGAGATACAGATATCTATTATGACGTCAATCCAATACTTCATACTGACGACCTATAGCCATTTCTGGAATTTAATTAATTTTTAATTAATTTTTGAAGACAAAATCATTGAATTTTCACAAATGGCTTCCATAAAAATCCACATGTCTTAATTTTTATTTTGGATGGGTCGAGATTATTCACAATATTTTTTAATTTTATTCATAAAATAAAGCAGGTCAGTTATTATTATTACGTATTAGTGTTATCGATTTGTATCTTTTATTACATACCTTTTACATTACCTTTTATCTTTTATATTTATTTTCTGAAGTCTAGATTTTTAAAATTGCTAATAGTTGATAAACCAAATGACACATAAAATACACGTTTATGTTAAATACGCCATAAGTACATTAATGATTATTACATTGTCATACATGATTAATGAACTTTTCTACAACATGATATTTCTATCTATCTAACCCAAGATAAACCGATATTCAAAGATCTTGGCCGTTTTATTTTTTTGTGCTTGCAAACCAATGGCTATTGAAGCTGCAATTTAAAAATGACGGATGATTCATCGCTTGTTTAACATAATTGCGCTGGTAACGATACCTGCAGTGATGAGATTAGTAATGATAATATATGCGATAATTATTTTGTTACATCAAAATTGCAATTGCAATTTGCCTTTAACGTCCTTCGAGAAATCTGAAATGTACAGGATGTATCTCGTCGCTCTTCGAGATATCCGTGATTTTCGATTCTCAGACTGAGACAATCGCAGGATTTGATATCGAGCACACGGAGCCTCGTTGAGGAGAAACAATTCGTTATTTCGTTTTGCCTCGCCGAGTCGGTTGCCAGGATCAGGAATTCAAAATGCCACGCAGGAGAGCGCGGGAGGACGACCGCGCTCTCGCGTTAATCGGTCAGCTTTAAAAGTCGGTCGCGCGTCGTTTCGCCTCTCACGAATTGTCAAAGTAATTTTCGCAGAATCTCCGTTCCGCTCTCGCGCGGGATGAAAGTAAAATTGAATTCGGTGCGCGCGTTACGACGTCTCCTCGCCCGCGGCCACATTCGCTCTCTTAGAAGTGTTTGCGGCGTGTACTTATATGTCAAGGTCGCCCTCCACATGCACGCCCGCTGTCGATTTATATTTCATTCGCGAATAAGTTCGCACGCTCATTACCTCATTACCGAGGGATTGCTTTTTTTTTGCGAACTATCGACGGCGTATTAACGATCGTTATTAGTCGAACCTACATTCAGAGACTTTATCGTTAAAATTAAAATCTGGTAAGTCTGGAATATACTGTACGTATTCAAACGCAGCTTTATCATCATCCTTTCGCTAGGAAAATTTTTCCTTTTTTGCAAAAATTGCAGTTTCTTGTCGATTTTCACGACTGGATAATTCATGATCCGTGATCCGCGAGTTGTACCATCTGCGATCTATGATCTATGACATTATGTCGCAAGAGGCGCGCGTCGAAGATTGTCTTGTTTAATCGCGCCGGAGCAAAACTCGAAGCTGTAAAAATTGAATACTCATAGTTCTTTATGGGATGCATTAAGACACGCTTCATCGCGTCTATAACACTTTCAACAAAATGTATAAAAGCTTGCAAAACAGAAAATTTATCAGCGGCATAAAATCCACCAAAATGCCACCGTTAAAGGGTTAACCACACAATTCGAAGTTCTCTCCAAATTATGGCTATAAATTACAAAATGCTATCCGAGGAAAAACCTTTTGCCTACATATTATAACAGCTAAATTGCAAAAGTTATGCCGCGTGTAAAATCAAGAATATTCGAGATATTTATCTTGAGCGTTTTCGAAACTTGACAATTAGCCGTGAAGCTACACATTGGCATCTCATTTGTTCTGCTTATATTATTTGCCATTTCTCAAGCGCGCGAACGTGACTGCGCGATTGCGCAGACCGATATAAGAATCAATCGGATCGTCAAAAAATCTATAACTGGTATCTAAGGAGGCCGATGTCGTGACGAGGAAGACTTTCTCCTCGGCGAGGGCGCGATGCAACGAGATGACGTGCATACCTGGGGAAGAACCGAAAGAATAATCGGATGACCCGCTGGTCTAGTTATAGTTGCATAATCTGCCTGACTCAGCAGATGCTGAGTCTCTAATAAATATCAAAATTCCCTCGAGCATCTGTTATGTTAAACAAACGTAAAGAAGTACGGTTAAAACTCATTTTCCACAGTAGAAGATGACATTTATTTATTAATTATTTTTCCCAGTAAGAAATTATAAAATAATTACTGAGAAAATTAATAAATTAATAAATAAATGTCACAGAAAACTTTATCTTTTTATTACTTATAATAATTAAATATCATTTTATTATAAAGAATATTTTTATATTCACAAGATGATTTTCAGAATCTTGAAGTTCGCTGTTTCAATTTGTTGTTGGACAATAAATGCTAATATTTTTGGAATTCTTCTATTCGTACGCGTTAGGTGTAACGAGAGAAGAAGAAGAAGAAGAAGAAGCCACGTGGGATGCACGGAGGATGATCGGGATCAGATCAGATCCTTCGAGCGTGCAACCAGCTATTATATCGCCTTCCATGGAGACGGATCTTAGATCCGTGTAAAGATATTTCACGCGAAGTGGTTTCGCGCATTTAATTGATGGTGCTCGACGTTCGTCGACAAGGGGATCTTAAAAAATGCAAGATGTAATAGTTGAATGTAACGAGATTTCCACACGAACGACGATTGTTATTTTGTTCTATTGTTTATCATCGTGTTTTATATAAAAGAATAGGATTAAATTTAGTTATTGAAAATTTGTATTTTTAAATATTTGAAATTTAGCATTGTTGTTGTTCTGGAGTGACCATTTCATAGCGAAATATTCTTATTTGTCTTTGTGAAGGGAATTATCTTGTATCGAGAACCATCCAGGATTGTAAACGTAATGGAATTTTTGAGGTAACCGCACGGTGTCCGAGGCATCACTCTTGCCTAGCGTATCTAGAAATATCAATCACAGTAATTCGGGGACGGGACGTGATCTCGTGACGGTAACGCGGGAGATCTACGATGATCGAGTAAGCGATTGGATATTTCGAGGTGCATCCAATCGTTGCATCCGCTGATTGCGAGACTCGTATGCAGATTCCGGCGCAAGTACTACGAGGTACGAGCTTGTAGAGATGTAGAGGAGTTTGATTGGCCAGCATACACAAGGTGACGGATGTGAGGCAAGATAGAGGAATTTAACGAGGTTCAAAACAACCAATAATTACAATGATGTTCTACTAAATAAACGTTGATTATATAAGAGTATATATAACTAAAAATTACGGAGCCAAAAATAATATCTTGCTTTGTAAGTTTATATTTACTAAAATTAATAAATATAAGATTTTGGTAAATACAAAAAGTAGTGATAAAATTCTAGTTGCTCTTTTTATTATTTTTTTTTTGTGTTTCTGTTGTTATTTAAAAATCATTCAATTTACGGGCAATGTAACACAGACGCAATTTAGATAAAGAAATACTTGTTATAAAGTAGGCGTGAGAGAAAAACTGATCGGAGGAAATATCGCTTTTCCTCATTCAACGTAAATTTCCTAAAGATACGTTCTCGGGGTAGAGTGATTTACGGGAGAAAAGATGCCACTCGGAGATTGAAGAAACTTGTCTTGTAGCAAAAAATATTTTCAATTTAACGTAAGAGAGACAGAGATGAGACGCGAAAACGTTTCTTCGCCGCGCAATTTCGTACCATTATCCACGGAATTCCTTGGAAGCGCGGCATCAACGACGAACTAGTGATTTAATCGTTTCGACCACAGGCATACGTTGAGTATGGAAAATACCTTAGGAATAAATTAATTTCAAGGATCGCCTCCTCCCGAGCAGCTCGTAACCGCGCGACATCGTTCGTTCAGTCAACGCGTCGTCGTATTTTACGTTTCTATTAATGGATAAATGCGTAAAAAGGATTCACGTGAGGGATTGACGGCGTAGATACGTATAGTATTTCGTTCCGCAAGTATTACGTTCGTTAATCCACATAGGCGTTTTTTCTCTTCCGGACGTTGCGCAGCAACGTCCACGAATAGAACGGGGCTCCTGAACGTAACGGACGTCGGGCAACGGCTAATGCGATGTCGTAATTCTCGTTTTTATACCCGCGGCACGTTCCGCCGTAAGACGCGAGCATTTATCTTATTTAAATCGCACGCTTTTGTGTATCCGCGAGGATACGTGCCGCCCGAGGATCGTGTCGCTCGTTTTGGATTAGCGCGCGCGCTCCACTCCCGGGAGATTGCTCGCCCAAAGCGCTATTTCTCAGCCGGAATTGCGAAAATCCACCATCGAGGATATTCCCGGACAGAGCATTGTAACTCACATGGCGACTGTTTGAGAATGCGCCGCGATAAACTTTGACACGATACTCTCATCGCGCGATTCTCCTCAGCCGATTGTTCCTCGATGGCATCGGAGATAATAATTACAAAAATAGAAAAAAAAAAAAAAAAAAAAATTAACAAAAACTACAACTTTATGTAAAATTTATGTAAAATTTTATAAATATACATACATTTAATAGCATTGCCAATTGTGCCAATGTCTCTCGGTATTTCGTCACATGCGACGATCGCTGTTGCGTCATCTACTCGTGCGGCTCATTAAATATCGCTTGGTATTTATTCATGTAATTGCAAACTAGCCAGTCGAGCTTATTTGTGATCACCGATGTATTCAAATCACGGTCGGATCTGATACTGATTTTAATGAGCGGATTAAATCATGATGTGTTTAATGCTCGGCGGTTAGATAAATTTCAGTCAAGGAAAGAAAGCGTGACCGAGTCGAGGTTCAAGCACGTTTATTTTGTCGTTACAAGTAACGTTTAATATAAACATTACGGTCACGGTGGTTCTATGTATACAGTGCGCGCGCTACGTGATTCCATAATTAACGCAGTAGGTGCTAATTGACTGCATTAATTCGATGCTGGGAGGACGCTCTTGCAAAAGGAAATTTGCTAAATCATGCGAATATGTTAGATTTGCAAATGGAGCTAGAAATATGAAGTCCAAATATCGCAATAGACATAATTTCGATGTATTAAATTTCCAAAGTTATGGATTCTCTTTAACTCATTATAATTATATCTGCTTTAATGTATATAATTTAATATTACTCGAGTACCATAGATTGGATTATAATATAAATTCACGTAACACTCAAACGTGAAAAATCTGTCGTTAAATTCTATATCGACAATTTGTCTCTTTCTGTTTCAAATTTTGAACTTTTCTGAATAAATATTCTGAACTTTCACTGCACTATACATACTTTTAAATTAATGAAGATATAATTTCGCGCGCAAACTATTGGCACTAATTATTTACATGATATCGTAGGATTGCAAGCTCAACAGTCGAGATTTCAATTTAAATAATTTGAATGTTACTGTAGCGTTTTTAGAGATTGTCCTCTTCGGGATGCTGGGCGATGTAATCGAGGCCTCTCAGGATTTCGAGAGGAATAGGAGGCGCGGTCGGCAGATGCTCGCCCTGAGGCCGAAAACCGTTCTCGTCGGCGATGTAACTTAGGGCGAAGGGATTGCCATTGTTGTCGGTATAGCTGAAAGCTCCCTGGACTTGAATAGCGTCCTCTTCTTTGGAGATCTTGGCGAGGTGACCCTGTTCCTGTGCCTGAATGCCATTTGCGGTCTCATAATTGAAGCTATACGAACCGTCCGGATTCGGTCCGTCCACATTTGAAGCCACGATAGGAATAAAGTTATTTGTTGTATATTGTATTCGATGACTCAATGGTGGTGCAGCACGTGCAACCACTAGTACACAGAGAAGTGCGATAATCTGAAAGAATTTTTTTTACTCTTTAGTCATTAATTTTTCAGGACAAAATATTTCAAAAATATAGAATTATTTTACCTGTTATTTATAATTCGTCAGAATATTTAATTTAGAAAAAAATCTATTTGTCTGAACAAAATTTGATATCTTTCTAATCGAAAATTATGACATAAAACGTAAAAAATAAATAATAATTGCATAGCATAAAAAATAAACTATAGTATGTAAATGTTGAATGTAAATATAGTATGAAAATAATCAATAGGGTTAGTTAATTAATTTTTTCTTTGTTAATTTGTTTTATTGCTAAGTAAACTTACCGAAGCCTTCATGATGCTAGTGTGACTGTGTCCGTTTCGTTATAAAATCGAATTTCAAGAGACGCCTTTTATATAGTATGGTGACACCTTGTTCGCGCAGAATCTCTCTCTTATTGATAGAATTTTGATCAACATGTTGACACACATTACAACATCGTCGAAGAAATTGATAGTGAGGCAAGATGACCAGATGTAAAAATGGCCACATAATGATTCCTGAATGCTATTTCTGCCTGAATGATATTTCTGTGTCCGTTCATTTTACGTAAAAGCCGAAATATATAGCGAAACCAAATTACCATCGTAAACCAGATTCGTGAATACTTTCATCTCCAATTTTTCCAGGCTATCTCTGCCTAGATCTTCATCATCATCGCTCGCGCAAGAGATTTTTTCATTTATTATATAACAATTAATAATAATAAATATATATCTAATAAAAATTTTCCACACTTTGTGTTTGCGAAAGCAAATTCGTGTATATCCTTAGCGAGTCTGCCTTCGGGAATTACAAAGTAAGCACGTGTGGCATGCGTTTACCCAAGGCTGTCAAAACCCGAGATCAGTTTAGCCAAGATAGCTGCGTGTTTGACAAGTTAAATAGTCTATTTTTGAAAATTAATTGGAGATTATTCAAAAAGGAGAGATAAATTCCTTTAGTTCACAACAAAATTCACAACAAAGTTCAAAATCCGATACTCGCGCGCGTTTGAGGAGTAACTTCATCGCATAAACATCACGTTGTAAAATATTAAAGTCGACAAGGTAAATCTCTCTCGTAAAGCAAACACGTTACCAACAAAGGATTATTCTTTGTATGTGCGCCGGGAGAAAGATAAAATTTCCCTTCGCTAAGTCGATCATAAATTTTTCTCTCAATGTCGGTGGAAGAACGCGGGACTACCTAATACGACGTGCGTTTTCGCCGCATTCTATTGACCCGGTGATCTCGTTGTGTGAATTTTCGTTATTTCTCCGTTGTATATTCAGCCAACGTGTAGCAAATCCGTAAATCCTTGACGGGCGCAACGTAAGCCGAATACGCAAGTTCATTTATCGTTTATCATAATCACAGAATAATCGCGCACCTTGGTTATTTCCTTCAATTAAATAAAGGTCATTGAAATTGTCGTGATAATAAAGAGCAATTTTACTTCTGAATAATTTTTCAAAAGAGAACTTTAACGAACAAACTTTAAAAAATATCTTCGATGAATAAAGATATTATTATTTCACAAAATTTCTCCAAAGAAATATTTACCATCTTATTTCATTTTACGATGCACGTGACAAAAAAAAGTTTTTTTTCTCAATTCAATTTTTTTTCTCATTGTGCAAATTTTGCCTTACACTCGATTTTGTTAAATGAAAATACCATTTTTATTCTATTTATACATTTTGTTTATCGAAATCAGATATTTCTGTTTTATGAAAAACATTTTCTAACAGAAACAATTTAAATTTTATAATAAACAGTATAATATAATATGAACATTAATTAACCGAGATATCGCTTACAATTAGAAAATGATAAACGCGCGCGATTCGGCTCATTAATCACGTCTCTCTCGTTTCGATGGCTACAAATGTCTAGTATGTATTTATGATTGTGGCGCGTTATTAATATATTGGAGAGGTAAAAAGGTCGAAGGACTTGTGACACGAACGTATCCTTTCGAACAGTAGCTATCTGGATCCTTTCTCCAGGAATATAAATGGATATATCCTCGCGAAAAGGAAAGTCTTCGATAAAATCGAGTTGCACATATGCGCACATGAAACGACCGGGAGAGACAAATTCGGTAATGGAGGTCAATGCCTGATCCTCGAGATGTAGCATGCAGTTGTTTGTTATAATGATACACTTGTTGTTGCTCACAAAGAAACATTATAAATCGTCTGGCTGTAAGAAAACATGAGCGACAGTAAGAATATATTTTTTAAACGAGGCAGTGTTTCTTCGAGGGAGTGCTCGTGGGATCTTTAAACTTAAACGAATAATCGTAATTTTTTTGCAATATTCGACGTCCCAGCATCAGATTATCTTGCTAGTTACGTTTCAATCGTCAAATTTTTGCGAAGTAGTATCTAATTAAAATGAACAGGAAGATATGCCGTTCCGTTTATTTCTGTATCCTTGAAGTTTAATTTATGAGTATTTCAAGGTTTTTAATAGCTTGCGATTCAAGAATTATTGGCATCGATCAATTATCTATGCAGAAGAAAGTTTTATGAATTGATCAAATAATTTGCGAGAATCAAAATTCATGCTGAAAATCCTCGTTGAAAGTTTTCTGTACGATGCATTAATTTGAGAACAATTAAATTTGAAAAATCAAATCTTATGTAATTTATCGCATCTTAGAACGATTTTTACAATGCGTCTTTGCGAGACTGTTTCGTCATTCGCAAATAGATACATTAGTGGACTTGCCTATCATCATTAAAACGATCTTTGCAAAGGATATAAAACAGATCTGCTTTATTCGCTTGTCAAATATTTTCGCGACTCAAGCTAATTCTAATTTAGAAAGAATTTGCATATTAATTATATTTGTCATCTTAGCTTCGCAGAAGAAAGCGAGAACGTCACTTTGAGTCCTCTAGCTGACTTCTTGCAGGATTCTTTGCCGATTTCCGCCGATAAAGCAGAATTAGGATTTAAATGATTTTTTTTATAGGGTCCCACATTTCGAATAAAAAACAATTATATCGGAAATAAATGCAATCAAAAATATTATTTTGTCGATAGAAATTATGAGTCTCTCCTTTCTCTTTAGAAATGGAACATTAATAATAAGTATTAACAGCATGCATAATCATATTGAGATCGTCATTTCTGCCGTCGACTGGATGTTAACGATCATAAGAGGCCAGAGAGTGAATGAAGGATACCATAGATCGCGCCACGAATAAAAGACGCAACTAATTTACATTTGTAATAATAATTTCACATATATAGCTGAAAATATAATTGATAACACTTACAGTTACCTAAAGCATACATCCAAAAGATATTTAAACGATCTCACTTAAGCGAGATGAGAAACAATTAATGCGCCAAAGTATTTTCTAATAATAGACCATTCTCTCTCCGCTCTTTAAGAGCTCTTAGAATTTAAAGAACTTGGAAATAGAATTACCGAGAAAATTTACTCAAATTAAGAAAATTGTTTCTTTTTTGCCGTTTTGGCAAATTCAAGGATAGATTTCTTGCATTCTCTCGCTGCTTCTTTTCAAATCGTACGAATTCTTTTTTGTTCGTCAGTTCGCGTTTGGTGGTACATTCGGTGTGATTTCACAAGGGTTTACGCCGGATCAAGATTATGACGGGATTTGAATAACGGGGGATTCTCTTGCGTCGCGGCGGATTGGCCCGCGGCATCGAGTGAACGCGTGAGTCTTACATCTCGCGTATCGCTAATTTCACGAGGTGTCATTTTTCATCGCGGTCCTTCGAAAACGGCACGCCGGACACGTCTATCCGTCGCGAGGTATCAGGTGATGAATTGTCACGGGCCTGTCGTTCGCGAGACTCCTTAATCACCGGACTGCGTAACAGCTCCGTTGAAGTAACTCAAATGAGTTTGGCTCATCTGCCGCTGTGTGAAAGTAAAAATGCCGTGTGCGGTATTTGGGTTAGCGGAATGGCCCCCGCGGTACCAAATAATGGCGTGTCTTATTCCATTACGAGGAGCAGGCGAAACGAGATCTCCGAGCATCTTGTAATGGTAAATTACGATTAATTGGTCGCATTTTTTTTTTGCAATTATCACGAGAGCAATGACTGTTAATTATTGCTAACATATTCCAAGTCAATATATCTTGTTATATTAAAAACTGTAATTATTATTACTTCGTATGTTGCGAGATATTATATTAATTTTTATAAGATAAATATCATAAATATCAATTTTGCGATCAGTTGCTCTGCAGAAATAACTCCGTTACTTTTAAGTTATTTCTCTCGCAATTAAAAATCTTGAATGATTTTATATGTTTGCACATATATCATTCATTTGTTACAATGATATGAAAATTGTCATTTACAAGTAATTTGGAAAAAGAAGAATGGATCGTTAGAGTTTTTATTATCGATAAAACGACGTAATTGAGTTTCTAAAATTTTTAATTAAAAAGAGAATTTTGCATCAAGCTATAAATCCAAGAGAATTATTTTTTATAATAGGTGAAGATTCAATACATTAAATAAAGAACTAATACTATCATTCCTCTACAATTAGTTAGTACACCAAAATTGCATTTAAAAATGCAATATAAAATTTTAATTTTAATGACTGAGGATATTCAAGCTCATTTTTTGGGAAACTTTGTTTTTTGAATTATGTCGTTGTAACAAACGAGCAATGTCCGTCTATATGTTTATATGATGATCTTGAAATTCAGTGAGCAATCAATGTCGAGACATATTAAGATAGTTACGCATCTCGTCGTTCATTTGCGTTACAATCTGCGCCGCGCTGCGAGACAATTACAAACGCGATGGATTAATTTAACGAGCGTACATATCCGCATCGTGAAATTCAGCAAAGAGAAGACTAACGAGGATGCAAAGACGGATTCTGGCGCGCAATTAATTTGAAAATTAGAGACTCGTGTACGCACGTTCAATTTCATTGCGAAATACGTTGCGCGGCAGAAGAAGAAGAAGAAGAAAAAAAAGGTGAAGAACACCTATTGAGATTCTATTATGACGTCTAACATGACTCGTAGATCCTGACCTTCAGCCATTCGGCAAGATTGATAGGCTTTGTGCGTCTCAGATTTACTTGAAAACCTTATAATAACGATATATTATATAGTCTCTCGAAACATAAATGAGATGACAAGAATGTGTCGGTGCGAGGGCCTCGGCATTAAATAACAAAGATAAATTAAATAAAAATAAAAATAAAAATATAATTAAATATAATTAAAATATAATTAAATAAAAATAAATCAAATAACAAAGATAAATTAAATAAATTTGTTACGGCAAAGCCTCCATTGTTTTAATTCTGTTATCTTTCCTTGTCTTTTCTTGGCAACTTTTCATGCTCGCGATTCTATCGAATAAGATTATTCGAGACTTTGATTGATCATCTCTTTCTGTTTCATGAAACATATAGTTTGGTTGACTGAATCAAATTCTGATCAGATATGAACGATTCAGAAATTCAAGTTGAAGTTATCATAATTTAAATTATCAAAATTTCTGGTTGACTTAAATAGATCTAGTAAATTTTAATCGAAAACTTTCTGAGTCACTCATATTTCACTAGAATTTGATTCAACCAATCAAACTATATTTTTCATATTGTCTAATATATACGGACAGAACAATTTTTGTTAGTAAATTTAAAACTTGACCAGACATAGATCTGAAAATAATATTGTTAAGTCTTTAAAATTATTACGACGTTCAAATTGTTTGCTAGAAGATCAAAAATTTTTACAGTGTTATCACCATATTTTAACATTTTATATAATAATTTCGATAATCCAACAAAATTATTTTCAAATTTGCAATTGGTCAAATTTGTAAAAATTTTAAGAATTTACCAGTAAAAGTGTCCTTTTCGCCTTTCTTGAAATAAGGAAATTGCTTTTCTGAATATCAAGATGCCTATGTTTCATGTAATATATGCGAAGTCTCGATAATAATGATACTGCTCAATAATTTTTTACGAGAACACGTGTGTTCACACGTGTTCGAAGGCCGCACAGCAGCCCGCGGGCGGTGTTACTCAAAAGTCATCGAAAGTTATCTCGCTAAATAATATTAAGTTTACGATATCATCAACTCGCGCGTTATAAGTCTTTCGAGATGAGTATGTGATGTACACAGGTAATTTAGATACTTCTTCCCGAATAATTTCTCTTAGACAATTATTGCGCGAATGCTCATTAAATACGAGAAACGTTTTCCATCTCGTCGTTATTTTATTTCCTTCCTTATTCCTTTTCTTTAATTTTTCCATCTTCGTATATCTTACGTTGATTTTCTCATATTTGCATAGCGCAAAAAATATAGTAATTTATAAGACTATTCTTTGTTTTTTTTGTTTGTTTGTAAGATCCTAGTTGCGAATAAATTTGTATTTGTATTTCTTTGCAAAACAAGAGATGTACTGTTTTATATTACATTTATACGTAATGTCTGAATAAGAAGACTATGAGCGAGTGAGCACTGGGCTATCAACAAACGTTTATTACAATTTAAATAATTATTTTTTATACAATTAAAAGTCGCTTTAAATAAAATATAACAATTAAAAGTTTAGAGTATGCAAAATGTATATTTGACTTTTTATATTCTTCTTTTAATACAAAAAAATTGTAGTTAACAGATTTAAATAACAACTAGGACATTAAGATCTTAAATTATCTTAATATTAATATGTAAAGTAAAACTTTATGAAAACTTATAAAAAGTTATATTTATGAAATTTATTAACTAGTTTTATTATTTTTTATGCTTATGATTGTACAATAAATAATTTTTTAAATGATTATTTGATGCATATGTTACTAAAAAGAAATTAATTTGGACAATTTGATAGAAGACATTGATAAAGCATTATATAATATTTTAAAATATTGATCTTTAAAAAAAAATTGTTAGACACAAATATGAATATGAATATATTCTTTTGCATTACTGGATTATATAACATTTTAAGCAAAATAAAATATATGAATATAATACATACATACACATATACATACACAAATATACGTCATTTGCATTGGATAGGCCACTTCTCGCTTACCGGCTAACTTATTTTGCGAGCCACTCGGCCATGAATTCAGCCATCGGAATAAACGGGTGGAATAATGCCATTCGGTTGCACAAGCAATCTGTAAACAATGACCAGGCAAGTTCGTGATGTTGCGAACGATTATAACGGTGGTTTGACAAACTTGAGGATTATTCTTTCACTTGTGCCATCCATAGGCTAATACGTATTTGTTTCGTGCGAGAAAATTAATGGCACTTACGTGCATATTCACGACGAGTGAAAGAGAAGCGAAGAGAATTCGCGAAACACTCGCTAGAAAGTATTTTCGAAATTCTCGACTTAGTACGGATACACGCGAAACAGTAATATTTATTAAGTATGTAATATCTCGGAAAGAATATCGTTAAGATAGAAGAATATAAATACATCGAATAGTTAAATTCGATTACAATGATTTATATTTTGCGATCGAAATCTTCATCAACAACCACGTTGTTGTTAACATATCATGAATATATGGATTCCTCATTGGTCACGAGTTGTCCTTTAGAACAGGCGTATCAGTCTTTTTTATACTCCAATGACGCGTTTATCATCGTCGATTGCATCTTTTTGGAGGAAAAAATTTCCAATATGACTTCATCTGCTTTTAGCGGCAATTATGATGTCTACTTTCCTCCCGCATTTTTGTAGACTTTTTATACAATTTGAAAGATAAATTTTTACAGACCATTTCCAGAAATATCGAACTACATTTTTTAGTTATGATTGAAATGCAACGGTTATAACAATCATATCAAAATTTCTTTGAAACATGTTGTTATAAATAAGTATGTTAAAATATATATATATATATATATATATATAT